TTCAATACAATCCCAACCAAATCCCTCAAGAAATTTCTTTCTTGAGATTGACAAAATATTTTTTTTTTAATTTAGAAAGGAAAAGAGAATAATCAAAACAATCTTGAAGAAAAAAAGGATAACATTAAAGGTCCTAACCTACCTGTTTCAAGACACATTATAAAGATGAAGTAATCAAGACAGCGTGGATTAATATTGGAACAGCATATTAATCCAAAAATAAGACACATACAAAGAAGCATCAAAAATGGATAGAAAATGTAATTGAAAATTAATGAAATTTTCCTAAAAACTTTTTGAAATATATACATACCAGGATGAATAAAGTATTCCTACTAGGGTTCCAATTAAAACTTGTATGAAAGATTTGTTGGAATTTTTAATTATTATTAATGTGTTTAAACATGTCTCTGAAATCAGTGGATGGTTGCAGACCATCCACTTATCTTGGTCTTTTGAGGGTGCCTTAAAAAAAAAAAAAAAAAGATATTTCTTTTACAATAAAGAAAAAAAGTTTTGAGGTCAGGGCTGATAACAAATTTTAACAAACTCAAGCGAACATCTTCCAAAATCATTGAAGCTTTGCAACAAGTTTCTGAGAATGATGCCCCACATAAAACAAGTTGTTATATGGATCTACTGTGGTAACGAAGGGCAGGATGATTTCAACCCCTATGAATGAAGAAATTATAGCTGAATTTCAGAAATTACTGAAAGAAGACTGTATAATTACCATTGACACAACAGCTACTGAAGTTGGGGTCTCATATGTTCTGGCATTTTCACTTTAAAGTGAACATTTTGACCTCAGCAAACTGGTTGGTTGGGTGCCAAAAGCATTGCTCAAAGATTAGCTTTATGGAAGAACATCAGTCTTTTAAGGAAGATCACAGCTAATGAAGATGATTTTATAGAATAATCATAACCAGGGACGATCTTGGATTTACCAATATGATCCAGAGAACAAGGTCCAAGCAAAACAGTGTCTTCAAAGGGGATCTTCTGGACCAGTTAAATTCAAGGCAAATAGATCAACTCAGAAGGATCTAGTACTGTCATTTGGGAATCTTAAGGAGCTCTGGTAACGTAGTGGTTACGAATCGGGCTGCGAACCAAAGGTCCGCAGTTCGAAACTACCAGCTGTTCCGCGGGAGAAAGATGAGGTGATCTGCTCCCGTAAAGATTTACAGCCTCGGAAACCCTGTTCAGGGTCGCTATGGGTCGAAACCGACTCGACGGCACTTAACAACAACAACAACAACAACAAGGGGTTATCTTGAAAGATTTTTCTTGAAGAACATAGAATGATCACAGGAGCTTATTAGGAGGAACTTCTAAGAAAATTGAAAGTTGCACTGGTGAGAAAAATGCCAGAAAAGTTGTGTTGAGGCTTTTTTTTTTTTCACCCCATCACAACAATGCACCTGTTCTTTTTTGAAGGTAGAAAGAGCTGTCCTAGGAGAATTTCTTTGGGAAACCTTACCCAGTCCACTCCACAACCCAGATCTTGCCCCTTTAGACTTCCTTTTGTTCCCAAAATTCAAAAAAGTATTGCAAAGGAACATGATCTAAGTCATTTGAGGATGCCAAAACTGTCATTTTAATGCAGTGTAAATCAGAGTATAGAATTCTTCAGGTAAGGGTTAGAGAGAGGGAAACACTACCTTCAGAAGTACATAGGCTTAGATGGAGGATATGTTGAGAAATAATGGCTTCATGTTTTGATATATTTGTTTAATAAGGTTGCTATGATTTTGTGACAATGCAGTAAATATGTTCAAAAGATTTTAATAAAGACACCAACCAACAGAGTAAAAAAAATGTCTTCAATAAATTTCACTGGAGTAACTGAATATCCCTATGAAACAAAAGAATTTAAATACCTACTACACACCAGACAATAAATCAAGCTGAGAGTTTATTTCATAAATTTAAATGCAAAGCCTAAAAGTATAAAAATTTCAAGAAGAGAACATAAAGAATATTTTCACAGCCTGTGAAAAAACACCAAGAAAATTAGAAGGCAAGTCACAGACTGAGAAAAAATATTTGCAGCACATATATCTGCCAAGGACTTTTACCCAAAATACTTAATGAGCTCCCTTAACTCAATAACAACAAAAATAGAACCAATCTTTTTTTTAAATAGACAAATAACTTATTACACAGTCATTTTACAAAAGACTCGATAAAATTAATTATTCATTAGGAAAAGGCAAAGTGAAACCATAGTAAGATATCACTACACATCTACCAGAACAGCCAAAATAATTTTAATTCACAGCATCAAATGTTGGGAGAAGATATGGAACAATTAGAACTCTCTAACATTGTTGATACAAATATAAATGGTACAACCACTTTAGAAAACCGCTTCTGAGGCTTCTTAAACATGACCCAGTAATACAGCTCCTAGATATTTATCAAAGAGATAAGAAAATATCTGTCTACAGAAAATGTGAAACAAGAATGTTCATTACAGTTTTATTTATAGTATCAACACCAGGAAATAACTATGATAGCCATCAAAAGGATAAGTTAATTGAGTCATACTTATACAATGGAATGCTACATGACTCAGGAATAATAAGGAATGATCTACTGATGAATACAACGTGGATGAATCATGAAAACATTATGTTAAATGAAAGAAACCAAACAGAAAATAATCATATTGTATGATTCCATTTATAGGAAATTTTAGAATGGACGAAATAAACTTGTAACAAATCATAACAATGTTGTGCATGTTGGGGAGACAGAGTAACTGGAAAGGGGAACAATGGAGCTTTCTGGGGTATTAGAAATGCTCTGTCTTGATACTCATTCATTAAAACTGATTGAATCACTCGTAATATCTGATAATTTCACCAAATATCATTAAGCCTTAATTTAAATTTTTTAAATCACGAGTTCTCAGAGGAATGCCAGGTCCTTAACCACTGTATTAGAAATTAAGTTTCTGAACCTCAGGTGAAAACCAGGGACAAGCAAAAGTAACATTACTTTTCATATAGGTTTTCCTTTCATTTTTGCTTAGGCATTGAAATTTATGTCTTTGAAGGTTCCAGAATCATTATCTATTTTTCCCTAACTCACCAGACGTCAAATACCTGCATTTGGAGCATATTCAACATGGCCTAACAGATCATTTAGGAAAAGTTATTTCTAGACATAGTGTCTTAGTTACTTAGTGTTGCCATATCAAAAAGAAATAAAGCACACAAATAGGTGGCTTAAGAGAACAAACATTTATTTTCTCATAGCTTTAGAGACCAAAAATCCATGGTTCATGATCTTAAACCTTCAAATCAAGGAACCAAATCCCATTAGGATTTTGCTTGTACATAATCAGCCTCAGCAGTTATTTTAAAAACAGCTACTTCTTTCATAGAAATTTGCATTTTCAAAAATACAAGAATACAAACACGTTGTTGTTGTTGTTGTTAAGTGCCGGCGAGTCGGTTTCAACCCATAGCGACCCTGAACAGGGTTTCCGAGGCTGTAAATCTTTACGGGAGCAGATCACCTCATCTTTCTCCCGCAGAGCAGATGGTAGTTTCAAACTGCTGACCTTGAGGTTCGCAGCGCGATTCGTAACCACTACGCTACCATATACACACATATACACACCCTATTGATGGATTTTAAACTAATGGTGATTGTTTTGGTTACATTTTGCTTTCATTTTGTTTGTACTCAAGAGATGAAATAGCCCTTCCATTTGGATATTATGGCAAGATTAGCTCTAATGTGTTCTCAGATCTCAGATGCCTTGAAGTCAACTGTATCTGTGACAAATCTTGAGACTTACTTACACTTCTCCACAGCTTCTAATAGAGCTCTGGCAGCATAGTGGTAATGAGTTGGGCTGCTAATCTCAAGGTCAGCAGTTCAAAACTTCCAGCGTTTCTGCAGGAGAAAGATGAGGGTTTCTGCTCCTGTAAAATTTTACAGCATCAGAAACCCTATACATGGTCCCTGTGAGTCAGAACCAACTCCTTGGCACAAAACCACAACCACCATAGCTTCTAAAATGTAAGGAACTTTGCTCTTTCCCTCTACTAGAATCATAAACTCTCCCTCCCATGTATTTAAATTTGGACAGCAGGTAGGGTGGTACCTAGATGTAAGCAGGGGTTGGGGAACAAATATCTCTCCAGTTAGTTATTTAATTAAAAAAAAAAAAGTTTGAGGGTAATATTTATCACCACCATTTGACCATAAACTTCATGATGTTGATGATACTATATGCCTTATCTGTCATTTTATCACCAACATCTAGTACATAATAGGAAATCAATAAATACAGACTTGATAAATGAATAAAAATTGGATCTGATAGAATAAAGCCATCTTTTACACAATAGGAACTCACAATGAAAACAAAAGCCTATTCTTGTAAGGAGCCCAAAGTATAGGTGGCCAAAAAATTTGGACATAGGATCTTATTAGAGTAGAAACACCATGGAGAAATATATGCTTCTGGTTGGCAAATATTTTTGCACAAGGTAGTGCTAGGCACATCAACAATGGTCATATTGAGGCAAGAAGGCAGAAAACTCAGAACCAAATAATTCAGATTTCCAACATAGGCAAACATATACGTTTCTTAAAGTCTCTGTCTAAAATGTTATGGATCTTTGAACTGGACTTTTAGATGAAAGCACTGGTTGAATTTTGAGGAAAATGGAAATAACAAAATAAAAAGAAATAAATAGAAAGGCGTGAAGCACATTACTTTGTCTTTATTTTGCAAGTTTGTGTTTCTTTTGTTCCCCAAATTCAAATGTATTGTGTGTTCTTTAAGAAAATGGCTAGTAAATATATTAATTTCTATACCTTACTGTGCCTAAACCAGCACCATGAAAAAAGCAATGATAAAACAGAAATCTCAACTTGAACAAAATGCAATCTTTCTCTTCTACTTTAGGATTAGGAGGTACAACTCCAGCTTTTTGTGCCAAGGTTAACCAACAGTCTAACACATTCCAACCTCCTTAGTTATTGTGGGAATCCCAGGTCCTTCTCCCTAATCTTATTAGTGCCCCCTTTACCTCTTTGTTTCTTAAAGTGTAGATAAGGGGGTTAAGAGTAGGAGTTACTACAGTATAAAAAAGGGTGAAAAACTTGCCCCTTTCCTTAGCATAGCGATTCTTCGGTTGGAGGTAGACAGCAGTGACAGTGCCATAGAAGAGGGAAACCACAAGAAGGTGAGAAGTGCAGGTGCTAAACGCTTTCTTCTGCCCTGCAGTTGACTTTATCTTCAGCACAGCCTTACCAATAGCACCATAAGAGGAAAGAATGATGATCAAGGGTACCACTAGGAGAATAATACTGGCTATGGACATTTGAACTTCATTGTAGGTGGTGTCTGCACTGGAGAGCTGAATCAGGGCAGGAACTTCACACACAATGTCATCTACCCTCCGGCTGGAGCAAAAGGGTAACTGGAGGGTAGCAGGGGATTGGATCAGAGACTGAACAAGGCCTGTCCCCCATGCCAGAATGGAAAGCTGCAAGCAAAGTTTTGGGTGCATGATAGTGGTATATTGCAAAGGATGGCATACTGCCGCATAGCGGTCCACAGCCATGACCACAAGGAGGACACATTCAGTGGCCCCAAGCCATAAGAAGACATAGAGTTGAATGGCACAGCCAGTGTAGCTGATGGTTTTCTCTGGACCCCAGAGATTAACCAACATCTGTGGAACACAGCTGCTGGTAAAACAGAGATCTAGCAAGGAAAGGTTGGAAAGAAAGAAATACATAGGAATGTGGAGTTTTGGATCTTTTGAGGAGACAAGAACTATGACCATATTTCCAATAATCGTCAAGCAATAAAATATCAGAATGACCCAAAAAAGTACCTCCTCCAAATATGGCTTGTCAGAGAAGCCAAGGAGGATGAAATCACCGTAGCTATTGTTGCAAACTGTGATCATAGCTTCTGGGGTAACGTCTCTGGAGAATATTTCAAAAATATTTGCTCAACATCCTAAGTCTTAGTAGAATCAAAAAGCGGGCAGTGTGACTTGTTTGATTCGTTTCTACTGAAGGATAAGATTTTTCACCTGCTGTATTTGGGAAGGAAATAAAATATAAGATTTAGTGACTTAACTTAAATCATTGATATCCATCACTCATTCTATTTCTCTTTTCCTCTGCACATTTTCTGCATATTTTGCATTTAACTAGAACAATGTTATATGTAATAAGTATGTAGACAAAAATTCCTCTCTAAATATTATGAAATACATTCCATCTTTGCTCTCAAAGTTGTACATAGTTTTTGATATACAGTACTGTTCATTGCACATAATATTTCTCTCTCTCATTCTCTATTCTTTTTGATCTTTTATTTCCTGTGTCTCTTTATCTCAACTTATCTGAACATCTTCCTTTTGTGTTGCTACTTTTCATCTCTCCTAGCCCTTTAGCTCTTCCCCTCCTCCCTCTCTTTCACTCTTTCTTCTTTTTTCCTTTGTTCTTTTCACTTTCTCTCTAATTTCTTTCTTAATTTCTGACTGTGAATTCTCCCTCAATTTAGTGAGCTTGTTTATTTCTTACCTTCAGTCTTTCCTTAGATCTTGTGTTTGGAAAATAAGAAAAATCATCGGATCTATCATTTTGCTTTTGGGTGTATTTTTTTGGTTTAAGAAGGTGATGGTAAAGATTATAAGAGAGGGAAAATTGAAAATTTATGGGTAGAACCACTGAATATTTTATGGATCTAATATTTTATATTTGAAATATCACTAAAAAATAATAAAGAAAAATATAGGGGAAAGTATTAATGTATCCTAGTCAAATATATGGGAATTCAGTATTCATAGTTCCTAGACCCCACTTTGCCATTAACTAGTAAACTGATCTTTATTGAGAAAAGATCATGCTAGATTAGACAATGTCTAAAAATTCTATCAGTTCTAAAAATATGATCCTGTGATTTTTATCCTCTTCATAATAACTAACTTCTATTAAGATTGTACTTTCCTAATTTTGTTTTTTTTTAAAGCAATGATGTCTACATATCTATATCTAGTCATCTATGTATCCATCTATCTTATCTCCCCACACTCCTTTTTTATTACTAATCATTAGAGAAGATGTATTTTTCCCTTGATCAACTATTTTCACAAAAGGTTCTTGGGTAGGCAGACAGAGTCTTCATCTAGTTAGCTTTCCAAGAAAAACACAAGAATTCTTTTCATTTCTGCTTCTTCATCTTGTCTACTTCCTGAAAATATCAATTGTCCTCTGATTTTCTTGTATCTCACCTCCTCTGCATGTCAAAGCAAACAGTAGATGGGAGAGTTCATGCTGAAAGGAAGTGCACCCCATTCCTGTAGTTGCAAATGTGGGGTTCAGTATATGTATCTCACCTTCTGAAGCAGATGCTTCTTGTGCCAGTATATCTCATCTGCTCAGCCCCACTCTGATTTCAGCAGAGCCACGTCAGTTCTGTGTGAACTCAGACAAAGATTTACACATTGACATTGTCATACCTAAGACACACTGTATATGGTTTCATTGTCTTCCCACTTGGCATGGAGACAAGTACTGCCCAGAGTGAAAGCAATTTAAACACCCTAGGGGTAATCTTTACACAATGGTGCATAGTAACTAGTAGATATGTACTCCAGTCTTACTTCAGGTGAAAACTTCCCATGTGCTTTTTAGGAGGTCCTGGGAGAATTCAGTTCAAACAATTAATATGCTCAATGACTAACCATTATCTTTCAAGGTCACTCATGATTGGAGATATAATTCAGTCTTCATCTTTTTTTTTTTTTTTTGGCCTGCACCTACATACCAAGCTGATCCATTCATGAATCAAGCTCAGGTTTTTCCTCTTCCATTAGCTAGTTCTGATGTGGCACTGTGGGCTAATGTGTCAGACTGCAAAATCATTTGAACTGCAAAGTTGGTGGTTCAAGCTCACCAACTGCTCCTTGGAAACCCTATACAGGGTTGCCATGGGTAGGAATCAACTCAACAGCACTTAACAACACTAACAACATTAGCTAGTTAGAAATGCCCCCACATACCACACCCCATGCAGTCACAGATGCACTAGTTATCTAGTGCTGTTATAATAAAAATACTACAAGTTGCTGACTTTAACAAATTACGTTTTATTCTCTCACACTTTAGGAGGCTAGAAGACAAAATTCAGAGTGCACAGTCCTTTGGATGTACCAATGCCATGTTATCGTTACTACTGCTGTGTCCACCCAACCTAAGGGCTTGACAGTACCCAATTTATGATGGGCACTTTGGGCTGCTTTGCCATTTGATGATATCTTATGGTCAGGTGCCCAATCTCTATCAAGGTGCAGTAGCATACCAGGAGTTGCTTTTCAAAAGATGTGCAAGCCACTTTTGGATATGTCCAGATGTTCCTGGAAACAGCTGAGTAGTGTGGACAGCTGAGTCTTGCTAAGAACCCCAAGAATTTTGTAATTCCCAAAAACTTGCCATGCACTACACCTGACATTTATTTTTACCAGATTTTTTGCCCCTAGTACTAACATGTCTTAGAATTTGTACAGGCCAATTTTTATAGCAACTTGCACTACAGCCTAAACCTGCTGTAAAGCTCATTCTTACTCTGCAATTCATACAAAGCTGGCAGCCTTTGATGTGACCAGGATAAGGACTGGAGCAATGTTTCCAGTAAGTTCAAAACAAATGGCACTTACCTGCCTTCTTTATGATAGAAGGTGCTTGTTCTTGTTAAATGATGTCAAGTCTGTTTGGACTTATACACAACAGAACGTAATACTTCCGGGTCCTGCCCCATCCTCACAATTCTTGTTATATTTCAGTCCATAGTTGCTGACATTGTGTCAATCCATCTTATTAGGGATCTTCCTCTTTTTTGGTGATCTTTCACTTTACCATTCATCCTTCACTTCTCCAGGGACTTGTCCATCTGGACAACATTTCCAAAGTCAAGAGACACAAAGTGTCTCTCTTCTAATGAACAATCTGGCTGTACTTCTTTCAACACAGATTTGTTTGGTCTTCTGGAAATTCAAAGTACTTTCTATATTTTTTGACAACACTATAATTAAAATGCACTGATTTTTGTCCGGTATTCCTTATTCATTGTACTATGAGGCAATTGCAACTTAGTCCTCAAACTGACATCTTTGTTCTTGAACACTTTGAAGGGGTCTTTTGCAGCATATTTACCTAATGCAAAATGTCACCTGATTTTTGACTGCTGCTTAAATGAATGTTGATTGTGAATCCAAGCCAAGATTATGGATGTTTGGCATATTCTTTTCTCCATTTATCGTGATGTTATTTATTGGTCCAATTGTAAGGATTTTTGTTTTCTTTACATTTATGCTGTAGTCTTTGATCTTCACCAGGAAGCAGTTTAAGTCTTTTGACCCCAGTAAGCAAGGTTGTATCATCTGCATATCATAGGTTGTTAATGAGTCTTCCTCTAATCCTGCTGCCATGTTCTTTTTCATATAATCCAACTTTTCAAACAATTTGCTCAGCATGCACATTGAATAAATATGGTGAAAGGATACAACCCTGGTGCACACCTTTCCTTTTTAAAAGTCATTCAGTAGCCCCTTGTTCTGTTCGAATGACTACCTTATGGTTTATGTACAGGTTCCTCATGAGTACATTCTTCCTTCTGGAGTACCCATTCTTCCCACTGTTACCCATAGTTTATTATGATCCAGGAAGCCAAATGATTTGCATAGTCAATAAAGTACAAGTAAACTTCTTTCTGGTAATTTCTGCTTTCAGCCAAGATCCATCTGACATTAGCAATGATATCACTAGTCCCACATTCTCTGTGAATCCAGCTTGAATTTTTCCCTATCAATGTCCTACTGCAACCATTTTTTAATTATCTTCAGCAAGTTTTACATACATGTAATATTAATGATATTGTTTGATGATTTCTACATTACAGGGAGTGACCTTTCTTTGGAATGGACACAAATTGACTATATCTGTGAAAAGAGATGATGGAAAAGCTCCATATCACCAGTCAAAACAAGGCTGAGGCCGACTGCGGAACAGACCATCAATTACTCATATACAAATTCAAACTGGAACTGAAGAAAATGAAAACAAGTCCACGAGAGCCAAAATATGACCTTAAATATATCCCACCTGAATTCAGAGATCTGAAGAACATATTTGATATGTTAAACACTAAAGACAGAAGACCAGAAGAGTTGTGGGATGACATCAAGAACATCCTATAGGAAGAAAGCCAAAAGTCATTAAGAAGACAAGAAAGAAGGAAAAGGTCAAAATGGATATCAGAAGAGACATTGAAACTTGCTCTCTAGCATAGAGATGCTACAGCAAATGGAAGAAATGAGGAGGTCCAAGAGCTGAACAGAAAATTTCTAATATTTTTTTAATCTAGTTTTTAGCTCTAACCCTATCCACTTTTAGTAAAATAAAAAAAAAAAAATTATGAGTAAGTAAAAGTGGGTTAAGTAGCACATATGCAGTGGTAGAGCTTACCCAAAGTTAAGTCACAAAAAATATAAAATAATATAGGCGAGGTGTTTTTTTTTTCCATTGAGATTCTAAAACTATAAAGAATATATTTGAAATTCATTTTAATTATTTAATGTTTTATGTGATAAAAAAAAATCACATCCATTTTTAACCCACTAAGCTCTGGTAGCGTAGTGGTTACGAATCGGGCTGCGAACCTTAAGGTCAGCAGTTCGAAACTACCAGCCGCTCCGCGGGAGAAAGATGAGGCTTTCTACTCCCGTAAGGATTTACACCCTCGGAAACCCTGTACAGGGTCGCTATGGGTCAGAACCGACTCGACGGCACTTAACAACAACAACAACAACAAGTTGTCTGGAAATTGTAAGGTAATAGTAAATTGATCATTTTAATATTATGAGATCAGAAATCTGGGAATGTTAAAATTGATCATTTT